CATCAAACACGACGGTCGCATTTGTTCTGCTGTTAAAATCAACTATTTGGCGGTAAACCAAAATCCCATCCCCCGGCCCAACACCCGAAGCCGGTGCCCCGATTCCGTTCACTTTCGGGTCCTTGAGCGTCCAAGTCTTCCCGTACAAAGGCAGACCCATGACGAGCTTTTTGGGCGGGACACCGGCTTCGATCCACGACCCGATTCCATAATGGGTACTAATATTACTCTTGGAATCATACAACGCAGCATTCATCCCGGTGAAATCATCCCACGACCCATGATAATCAAAGCACATTGGGCTGGCCCAATCCAAATATTTAGTTATTGCCGCGGCCGGATAAGATCTTGGACCGCCATAAACGGTAAATTTCCAAGCATAATATACTGCGGCGGTCAAAAGCAGACGGGGTTTACCGGTAACTCTAGCCTCATTATCCAGGGCCTTTCTCCATTGCTCGAACAACAAGCCAAGATTTGACATTTCCACAGCATCTTCTGGAAACTCCCAGTCCAAGTCAAGGCCTTGGAACCCATATTTCCGGGCCACCTGAATTGTGGAGCGGATGAAAGCTTCTCGGGTTGCCTGGGTGGAAGCCATGAGTGCAAACGTGGTTGAATTGCTACCGCCGCCTCCTATAGACAGGAGGGTTGTGACGGCCGGCTTTTTGGTCCGTAGCGCTCGGATGAATTCGGGTATTCTGGCTTGGTCGAATTCGGTGACGTTGAGTTTGTAAGTGGAGGGTTCGGGTACGAGGAAAGCATAGTAGATGTGGGTGAAGTATTGGGTGTCTATAGAGGATGGCGAGAACGAGTTAAATGATGGGAAATAGGCTGCTCTGATACCTTTTGCAGATGGATAAAAAAGATCCGAATTCGAACCCGAGCTCGAAGAAAGCATTGTGTGGAAGACAACAAGGATGAAAAAAGGCATCAACTTTGGGGTGGCCATTGCGCTATGTTTCTGAGCTACAAGATTCGGAATGGCCGGCAGAATTGGAGTTATTAGGCTTTTTTATAGAGGGAGGAAGTCTGAAGTGCGAAAGGCTATGGAAGTAACCACGTTGCCGACATTTGGCTTTGTGTTTGCAAGTTTGTGGCTGAAGTTTCCTGCTGGATATATGTCAAACTAAAGTAGCGGCTAGCGTTTGAACTCTGAAGCAGGAGGAAAATATCAAACATGTACAGCCAAATTCACAGATCGTGGCAAGAAATGGATTGTATCTATTTGGAAAGGAATTATAAATTAAACAGAAAAAAAAACTGGGTCAGTTTAAATAGAAGTTTCTGCAGAGTTTTTCATTCAACTCCATTCAGATGAGAAAGTCTTGTATACGGGCTGCTATAAGCCTTCTCACGCCACCGTTTATGAGAGAGTTACGGTAAACTGAAACGTCTCTTTTAACGGCTGAAACACATGGGAGAATTAAAAATAAATAGAAAAGTTTGACTTGGCTTTGAGTCCACTTCAGAATATTCTATGAAAGCAGATATTTTTTATTGTGACCGTAACACGAGTGACACATCACGTGTGTTTATATAAGTAGTGGAAAATTTTATTCTTTAAGTTATTAATTTTTTAACACGCATATCTCATCCTTTGTATAATGACAAGTGGTATAACATTCCCTATTCTCGTCACATTGAAAAATATCTTCTTTAAAGTGTCATGTTCTATCTTCTTAGTTATGGGGTAGCCACTACTTTTTGTCATCATTTAAAAGCATACACTCGTGATCGCACGTGCACCGATAGAATTGTTGAAGTGCTCGTAAGACCACATGAAATTGATCGAGTCAATTTGCATATCGTACAATTATTCATCGTTCTAGATACATTTAGTGGTGATCGGTGAAGAAAGCAACCCACTAAGACTTTGGAAGCACCCAATTACTTTTTAGTGCATTTAATCTATGCTGTTTATTTTTGGGTTCAATGGATTTTGGTCCCATCACTAAGTTGAATGCTTCAGCTCCAAAGTTGGTAAACCTCGCACAGATAGAGATAGGTGGACCATTTCCCACTCAAAATGTCAAATGTTCATAAAAAAACAAAACAATTTGTGGGTGTGAAAGTCAAAACCAGAAAAGCAATCCTATGTCAAAACCAGAAAAAGCAATTCTTTGACTGTTAGTGGTTGCTACTTGGCACTCGTATTCTGCAGTATAGGCCTAATGGGTATGAGTTTTGGGCCGACCCGAAAGAGTTAATGGTCTATACCTTAGGATTTTAGTTTGGGAACAAGTTAGGGCCATGTCTAGTGACTCGATTTATGCACTAACATATTCTATGGTATTTCTCGAGCCCGTTTGGGCTTGAGAGGTTTCATTTTAACCCATGATTTTGATTGTTTCAAAGTAGGGTTGCCAATTTCAAACGTGACACTTTGCACGATTTGAACTTAGTATGAATATATGGCTCGTTTGGAAGTGATTTTAAAATGACTTAAATCATTTTTTAAGAAGATATTTTTGAGTTCCAAAAGCACTTGAAATGTTTTTTCGTAATTCACTTGCATATTTACTAAAGATTGGTTCCGAAAATATTTTTACTACCAAAAGCGCTTTTAAGCATTTAAAAAACAATTTGGAACGAGCTTATAGAATCAAAGGTCCACATGATTAATATGATTAAAACTTGACTAACAATGTTCATTTAGCATTATATTTATGAATTGATAACATTTTCTTTGTGGATCTACTCGTGGGTTGACTTTTGCCAGATCTAAGTTAAGTTGAAAGTAATACTAGAATGAGTAACTTTTTAAGAAGTTTTCGTGTTGCATCCACTGCTCTTGAATATCATGAACCCTACAGCTGTCTTTCATTTTCCTCTTGTTTCTTTAATTCGTAGTACTATTTTGAGATGGTGACTGTAAGTGAAGAAAAATTTATATCTAACGAGTTGATATGTCAATTGTATCTATAACACTAATCATGTGATTTATGTGATAAACAGAAAGTCACATCACCACGATATATGCAAGTTTTTCTCCGATCATGTTGTCCCCTTTTGAAATAGAGTTCAAATGTTTGAAAACATTTTAGGTGGAGGAGATGAGTCCTTTCTTCTTTTGGAGTAGTTCGTTTGTCGAACTAGTTTGGAAGCTGGACAGACAGGGAGATCTCAAAAGGAGATTTGGTCCCATATTTGATTTGACTATGAATGTTTAACATGTAATCATATAGGTTGTTCGTTTCCCTTAAGCCAATGAGAAGGTTAAATGCTAAACTCCACTCAAGTCAGTGTGAGTCACTCAATTTTATTAATACTAAACTTTTATGTGTGGGATTGGGTGAAAGAAGACCTAAAAATGACTTTATGCCCGTGCAATAATTCTATTAAAATATATAAATAAATAAATCCAAAGATTAAAAAGTATATATGCAAAGTTATAATTTGAGTGATTTCATAATATTACGTGATAGATTATACTTAGAAGCTACTTGAAAGATCATACAAGTTATAATTTGAATGATTTCGTAACATCACATTGTAATTTGAGTGTTCTAAGTATACTAAGAAGTTGCTCGAAAGATTATATTTATCTTAGGGGTTAACTTTGCAAATCTAATGGTGTTTAATAATTCAGCATGAAACGGCACTATCATAGCACATTAGCATGAGGAGCTCCACCTCAGCTTCCCCACTATTTTATTTGTCGGCCATTCAGCCATTGACAAATCATCTTTTATTTTTTATTTCTTTCGGAAAGAGATTATAAATTAAGAATATTAGCTAGCTTATGTGCCAGTGAACCAAATTAATTAGCTTTAACCTGCCAGATTAATTTATGCTTAAGTGGATTCATTGCGTGCTAATAATCTATTACTGTAGTAACATGGACTCTAGAGTTTAAGGATAAGGAGGTTTTAACTTTTTTAGGATTTTTTAAAATTAGGGTTTAGGCAGTTGACAACAGCTAAGCTTAAAAGGATTAAAATTAAACAAGAAACATATGCACTTATTCCCAATGATAGTTAATTGTTCAATTGATGGGACTATTAGGTTATGAAAACGACAATTATAAACCAGTAATTCTCGCATGTGCCCCCTTTAATTTGTTAATAATTTACTTCACCTAACATATCTTATGAAACCAGAGAAAAACTTGTTTAGAGTTTACGAATCACCACGTCATAATGCATATATTGGTAGACCATTTTTCACATAAATATTGAGTTTATGTGTGTGTTGTTCTCGTTCGACTTCAAGTGATCTCATTCAATGTGAAAACTGTTTTAATTAAACGTCTCTAATGAATATACACTTGTACGTAGATAAGTTTCTCTTGTCCACTGCATTTCAAAAAGAAGATGATAGGGAAGTAATCTCATTGATCCCAACTCCATCGATCCCAACTCAAAGTAAATCATTTCATTCTCAAATAGGGAAAATAAGTCAATGAAATTACAAGTAAATGTCAATAATGTTCTGTCCACAACACACATGAGAATTAGATGAATACGGAACATCCAACGAAAGTGAGGTCCCCCGCAGAATGTGGTAATAAGGGGCACACTCCCATAGTCCCATGTACTGAGATGTAGTTCATGCCCTAGCTAGGGTGACATTGCTGGGAACATCAATCGCTTCAATTCGGTCCTTTTTTTGAAAAATCAAAAATCAAAATACATAAGAGACTTATAACTCAAGTAATTAAGAGCGTTTATCATACACTCATGCATGCATTTGTTTATGCATTGTCATGAGTAAAACATAATTCTCGATCCGATTTCATGATAAACAACAAATCAAAGAAGAACGATCATTTCATGACAAAATTAAAAGTTCCATGGATCCAATCAAAGCGTGCGACAAATTACCATGACATTTAAGTAAACCTAACAATATAAAGTTATATAAACTTTAAAGATCTTAATATTTTTTAAAAGAAAGCTACTAACAACAGTGGATTCTTCCAGTATCCATATATACCAAGAAAAACATTTACTTTCCCCCCTATCAACAAACACACTTTTAATCCTTTCGGGTTTTGCGTACAACTTTCTATCAGCTCAAATTTTCATAATCCCACTTGAAAAAAATCAGAAAAAATCCTCCAAGATTTCTGTAATGGAACCGGCTAGAAATTCTGAAACAAATATCTTCTCAGTTGCAGAAGTTCCTCCATGTCCAAACACCCCACTTCAAGACCCAAAAGAAACCAAACAGAAACTAAGAGTTGAAGAAGATGAGGAGGCGATGAAAGATCAAGAAAAACAGAAGAAACCCAGCATCCGAATTGATCTAGAGGCTTCGGATAGTGATTCAAATCGCGGGTTCAGCTTTGATAATCCGGAACTCAATCTACTCGAATCCCTCGAAACGGGGTCGTCAGAAGGCACCACCACCACCACGACCACCGCCCTTGTTTCTGATGCAGCAGAGCCTAGGGTTTTCCCATGCAACTACTGTCAAAGAAAATTCTACAGCTCACAGGCGCTCGGAGGGCACCAGAATGCCCACAAACGAGAGAGAACCCTAGCAAAGAGAGGGCAGAGGATGTTGGGGTCCCACATAACGGCCTCAGCTGCAGGTTTTGGGTACCCTTATTACTCTAGTTTGGCTTCTCTGCCTCTCCATGGTGGTGCTTTTAGGGCACTGGACATTCAGGCTCACTCCATGATCCACAAGCCTAGTTCCATGATGCCTTCGTCTGCGATTCGGTTCGGAAGTTCTTATGGACATCGGAGTTTTAGGTCAAGACCAATTTTTGATCAGCAACCAACGGTCGGAAAGCTCGGAGTTGCAGCAGCTAGAGGTGGTGGTGGAGCTGGGAGGTTTGACGTGGCAAAGAGCAACATGGTTTCACAAGGCAACGAAGAAATTGGAAAATGTTGGTTGGGAAACGACAGTCGTTTCAAGAGTAGCAGTGATCAGGAGGAAATGAAGCTTGACTTGTCGCTCAAGCTCTAACTAGTTAGTAACTAGACGGCAGAATTCTTCATCATTCCTTTGTATCATATATGATCCTCTGTTTTTTTTTTTTTTTTTTTTTTATTAATTTTGTTCTGTCAGTAGATGTGGTTTAGAATTCTTGTTTCACATATGGTTTGTGTAAATTTGATTTTTGAGAATAGCAAGAGCATTTGATAGTTGGCTTTTTTTTGTCGCTTAATTTTCTTTTCATTTACTGAACCTAAAAGGTAAAAAAAAGTTAAAAGTGCGAGACGAAAGGAGAGTGCAAAAGTCATTTTCGTTCTTTTTCATCAGCTAAAGGAATTTCTTCTTGGGGTAACATGTATTCAGAAGTTAGAAGCTGCACTTCAAAGAAAATGGTGAGATCTGATTTTCAAACAATCACAAAGTGAGCTCCTCTGTTTAGTCCAACAAGATTTCAACAAAAAGTTATGCTTGCAAGAGAAAGAACATGTGAGTTTAGTAAGCCTTGTTCCAAATAATTTAGGATTATTGTGTCTACTTCGATCCAAACAAAACAATCAATCAAATACAATGGGACATATTGATTAGATAATCTTGTAACATGTAGTATACAATTTCTCCACTTCTCTTTTCACATGACGTGATTAATCAAACAAGGAAGTGAATGTATACAACACGTTATACGTAGGTTATTTATGTAAATATTGAAAATGGCTTAAAATTTAAAACAATACAAACCATCATAAACCGATAATCTTGTTAATAACTTTTCACACAACATAATTATGAGCATTTGATAACCATTTTGAAAATAGTATAAAATAAAATAGAAGGCTATTTTTGTGTGTTACGGAAAAAAAAAAAATAAATCTATTTTTGCAAATTTTCAAATTTTGTCTTAAGTTCGGTTTTCAACCCTAAACTAGAACTTAAAAAACGAAATCGAAATCTAAAATCTGAAATGATTCTTAAACAAACCCTTAAACAATTCTCCACTCGCAAAAGAGATTAAGATTAAGATGGAACACATGTAAAGTTGACAACTTGACATTACAAGAAACCCAAAAAATAGAGTTCCTACTCATGAATATTAGATTGATGATGTTTTTTTTGTTTGTCCTTGTACGAAAATATAAAATGATTTTACTTTTTCTTTTAATTTTATATTCATTAAACTAATACTACTATCTTTGTCTTCTTTTGAAGAGCATGTAATAAGTCACTTTCCTTAAGTGATCTGAAAAATCTAGAAAAGATTTAGTTATAAAATTATATGATTAATTTACGTGTCACATTTTACTTTACTTACTAATTAAGTTCCTATCACAAACTCAAAAATAAATTATTAAAAAAAAAAATTTGAGGTTGCCGTAAGTAACTAAACCTGCCGCCCCAATTAAAAATACTTTAGAACAGTTGCTCTATGGCTCATATTCATACATCTTCACATGTGCATGCGCATTTCTCAATCTATTTGATTATTCACGAAGAGCAAATCGAACCAAAAAAATGATTTAGAAACGCCTTCGGACAATCATGTTTTACACAAGGAGTGATAGATAACTATTTGGAAAACAATTATAAAAACCTAAACTCTTTTATACTTCTCACACATTCTAATCGTCAAATTAAATGGACTGAAGAAAATCAAATAACAGAAATTAACAAGAAGTGTGAAAGATAAAAATGTAACATTATCCCATGAAAAAGGGTTCGTCGCAAATAAGCTCATCCAAACTCCATTTCGTAGTCAAAACCCCATAAAGTGCACCATTTTAAAGAGGAAAACTTTAGACTCGAACATTATTGCATTTAGACTATTACTACACTATAGGAACAGTTTGATTGTTCAAGTGTGTCGGGTTCTTCACCAAACTCAACGAAATGGTGGCGTTTCAAAACCCTAATCCTTACTCAATTATTTCATCTTCCAAACCAATGAAGGACACATAGCCGATAGCCTCCGGGCGTGTGGAAATCCAGAAAACAAACACATGGATACTCCATGCCTGCCCCTACCAATCACAGATGCATCTCAAATGCCAATTTCCCATCACTTAGCTAGCAGTAAAATTCCATACAATCAAAAGCACCATAGCACAGACACAGAGTTGCTGACCTAAGTAAATATCACAGCATTCAGGAGCTACATACTTATTTATCCTTTAGTGGGTGCTTTCATACAAGTATACACCTGAGTACCTTGGGCAGAACCTGCTACTTATCAATGGTAGATTTCTTTTAAGTAAGAACAAAAGAATGACCGAAAATCTAATTTGAGTTATCAGATATTTACCGCTCTATTTTTCCACAAACGACTTGACTTTTCCCAGCCATTTGATCAGTTCTATTCTATCCTTGTTCATCATGTATTGATGCAAGAAAACAGAAAGCTCATCATTCACTCCCCTTGCTTCTAAATACTCACTGAACCTCTGTTGAATCCTTCCATTCAAACTCCTGCCCATAAAAACAAGCAAACAGAGTCACCACCAATCCCAATCCCAAGGGCTAAGACTGCAAACCAAAAATAATAGCCGAAGCATAAATTGACATGCATATATCATAACGACCGATGAGATAAAAAAATAAAAAAATAAATCTTAAGTAGGGTTCATATTCAAGTTCCATAGATATTATAGGCATGTAATAGACACCAACGTTCTGCTGCTTACTATACTTGATCGCAAAAATGGAAAAAATGGCTTTACAATCCAAAAAAGAAAAATACAATGAGGGAGACATGAAATTGTACCTGAAATCAGGTCCCATATAAGGTTTAGCCAGCATTCGATCACGCTCAAGAACATAAACTTTCTGAACCTCCAAGCGATCCGGCCAGGCTGAGCACAGAAACTCCAAATCCTTGGAATCATCCCCCTTTGTAATATCAACAAGCATACTAAGTTGAAGACGCACATCTTCTCCTGAGCTGTCATCTCCAGTTTTGGGAGCAGTTTCATACCCATCAAACATAGTGACTTCAATTTTAATATCTTCAGTGTCTCCAAATCTCCTTCTCATTGTAATCCACTGCTCACCCGGTCGATCTTGGACGGTAAACGATTCGAATTTCATGGCAGGCTGTTGTGATTATAATTATTGTTAAAATTCCCATCACAAGATATGAATGTGGACTAGAAATTCAAAATCAACACTTTCAAGAAGAAACACTTTTAATTATACTAGAAATACGTTGAAAATGGTATTAAAAACCCTAGCACTTCCTAAAGAAGCACTTGAAGGTGCTTCCTGAAGAGCACTCTGAACTCTGAAGTAGCAATTGGAAGTCCATCAGAAAAGTGCTTCTATACAAATTACATGAACCAGAAGCACTTCTGCAAACGCAGTCAGAATCGCTTTTGGTTAAAGCGCTATCTAACAGGCCTTACATGTCAAAAAATCTCAATACTGCAATGGAAATTCAGAAATAAGCAAAACCCACTTAATCAAGTATATAAAGATGGTTTCTTTCAGAGTTTTGATTCATGCAATTTTCTCGGAAACCAAACAGAAGCTAAGAATAACAGAGAAGGATGACCAACCTGCTGAGGAGGAGCATACTCGGACTGGTACTCCACTTCGTTTCTGATGATTCTGAGGATGTTAGCTTCCATGGGCGACTGGGAAAGTGCTTCCGAAGCGTAGTGTCTGCTGTGGAAGAGAGAGGCTGAGATTGCCTTCCGCAGCGGAGGATTTGGGTGGCGCTGAACGGCATTGACTAGGGTTTTGGATGCGCAACAAGAAAAAAATGGGAGCGCGGTTCGAGCGGTTCGAATGAGTCGAGCCATTGAGGGTTCGGAATCGGAATTTTGAATTTAGGGTTTAAGGATTTTGGGGGTTTAGGTTAACAGTGGAACAGAACTGGGAAGAAGAAGAAGATGGATTTCTGAATTGGGCTTTTTCTTTGAAATTTCTGAATTGGGCTTTGAACGTTGTACATAAATGTTTAATGGGCCTAAAAATAGGCCCAGTTTAATTAGGACGAAGAAGTTGTGTCCCCAGATAAATTCATGATTCGGCCTGTACACCGCAAAGATTAAATTTTGGGGCCTTCAAATATTCACTACTTCAAAAGTAAAATTCAGGTTTTCGATATAGGCTAGCGGATTTGAACTTCGATGAAAAGAAAAATGGAAATATTAGTCCGGTCAACTATCCTAACTCACATGTGTAAGATTACGTTTATTTAAAATAAGCAATGAAGGCTGTGAGTTGAATTTGCAACCTATTTCAATGGTGTGGAGGAGAAATATCACCAAACAAATAGGTCGTAGATAGTTTAGAATACTTCAAAGTTGAAATTTTTTAGAGAATTAGATGCATGCAATCAAAGTCACTCAAAACACGAAGTATACCATACATTAATATATAGTACTTCTTATTTCCATCTATACTTCTCACCACGATAAAGTTGTAAAGGCAAACGGATACATCCCTTGCTTACACGTCAAAGTCTCAACTCATATTCATAGAATATTTTGGCTTGGAATTCCACAAGTGAATAACAACTTACACTATACGGATACACCTTCATCATAATATATATTTCATGCTAATGACATAAGAATAGTGTACGTTTGTCTTCGCATCAGATTTGCTATGGAAGTCTTTCACCCGTAAGTGGTCCCGAAAGGCCGACATGTCTCATGGATGGGTGTAATAATTGATGTGAGGCCATCCCTCGAATTATAAGACATGAAAATGCAGAAACAGTACTCCCACGCTCCAACATGCATGATGAAAAAACTGGGTTACTTGATGATGGATGGTGTTGGTAGGGTTTCAAATTTCCAATCAAATATTATAGATATTTATATTATGAGGAAAGATTTAGTTGTCGCATGGCAGATCATCAGCTTTTCTGGACACATGGGTTCATGCAGTTCAGATAAGCATGCATCCTAACGCACGCGTATGGTCGTTTCTAACTGGTTTGGATTAGACTGCATTTCAAAATACAAAGCTTAATGACAAAGTTTTTTACTTAACATCAATTGTTTTTTAGTTTACTCATCCACACAAGGTTCCAAACTCGACTTTTCCTTTCTTCAATTTCAATTGTATGATGAAAGGATTATCATTGTCCTTGCACAATGATCACACGCATAAATCGAGAAATAGTTAAAAAAAAATTTGTGGGTTCGACTCCTATTATGGTTGATTTAGAATTTTACTTGTTTAACTTTAATGATTGGTCTAATGGAAAGTAAATTAAGGTTTGGAATATCAACTTGAATTCGAATTTCCACAGATATATTCTTTAAATTCATTGGCTCTGTTTTGGTATATCGTTTATGAAAAGAGATATTGTGAAATTATGAATTGGATTCTAATATTTTTTTAGCACAACCTAGTGCGGGTTTAATCCCCACTGATTTTCCTCCCCCCCCTAAAATAAAAAACCTAACAACTAAAAATATTTTAACCTATTAAAGCTATTTTTTGTAAAAAAAAAGTTAAAATGATATGGAATTATGGATTCTAATACTAAAATAATATCATCAAATTAAGAATGTGGGTGCGTAATCTCATTAGCAATTTGATGCATCAATCACAACTTATTTTGATACGTTGGAATCATATTACAAGTCAGCGTGAGAACGTATGCAATTAATTACAAGAAAATTACAAGGAGCTTTACAATATAAAATAAAATAATATTACATTTTATTAAAGATGATGATATTGTATGGTTATGTCGTTCTCTAAGTTGTTCATATCCTAATAAAGGATTTGAATAAATCCAAACACAACTTATGAAAAGAAAAGAAATAAATCATTTACAACTGTCGAATTGGTAGCTCCGGTTTCTGCAAGTTGGTATATTTATATCCGAATTTTGTAGAACACCAAAAAATTAAGAAGTTATTAAAAGATTAATTTATGAGTTTTTAAATGATTAAAAATATATATATAAATAAAAGATTAATTTATGAGTTTTTAAATTGATTAAAAATTAGATATAAAAATAAGGGTGAAATCAAGACTGTCTCCATTGTACGTGACAGTGGCTCGTGGCATTGGACGCATAAGCCCATCATGCTTGCTACTAACGGTGGAACCCAAGTTACCTCATCGATTCTTTCCTCCTCCTCACGTTACTCTTAAGTCTTAACCCCATAAATTATTTATCAAAGTAAGAATAAAAAGGAAAATTAACAAAAAGAGTTTGAAAATTTTGAGTTTTAACGATAATAACAAAATAAAGGATAGAATAAATAGTATCAAGATTGACTTTTTAATGTAAAAATGTGGTTTTTCGTTAAAATGAACAGTACCGGAAACTTTTCGTTAAAATTTCCTTTCTAAAACTATAAACAGAATTCACAACTCCCTCATTTGTCCATTTAAAAAGCATTTACCAAATGAGAACTGTTATTATCATCTTGCATTTCTTATAAGTGTTTTTTTTTCTTCTAAATATAAAAAATTTAAAATACAAAATGAGAACTTTAAAGTACATTTTCCTATCAAAATAATAAATAGTAAATTTTAATAGGAAAACTGCTGATCCTTTTGGGATTGTTTCTCGATGATTCAAAGCATTTTTTTTTTATAATTAAAAGCGCTTATGAATGCGTTTTGGCAGAAAAATTTTAAAAGTAGTTATGAGCTATAGGAGGACTTTATGTTTAATCATCCAAAAGCACTATGACCATCAAACCCATTACATCTTGGCATCAAAGAAATATATGAGCACAAGATTATTGTTTCCGATTGGTCCTAAATTCTAAATTGAAAAATGATAGAGAGGTCATATTTTTTTTAGCTGCGAAGAGAGACCACATTTAAGCTATCTTTTTAAAAGAGGTGGGATTTATTTTTATTGTGGAACCTAGCGAGAATGAGTTATAGAATGGGTTCAACGCTACTGTAACGTCGCGTTCTAATAAAAAAATAACACATGTTAAAAAAATTTAGCACAAAACATAACATTATAAGATTGACATGCCACAACCAATGACACATATCCATAGTTGGTCTCCTCCCTAGCATCACCTAACACACCCCGACTGGAATCGATGCATGTTGGCCGTCACCCGAAGGTGACGTAACCAAAAGGAAAGTGATGCATAAAATTATGGATAAATTTAAACCAAATCTACCACTTATTTAAACTAAAGTAGAGAGTGCGCAGTAGTGGGAATAACCCATAAAACACAGGTGTTCAGAGCATAGATGACATAAAAGTGTGCAATTGAAACTAGTTAAAGTACTTAATACATAACTAGGAAAAGCCCACTACACTTATTTATGGATACGTCATAACCGTCAGATATTCCTCGTACACCACAAAGTAATCAGCTAACTAGGACTTGGAGGGGCGAAAAACAGAAGGGTGAGTGGGCAAAAACAAGCGTTTATAAAACACATTTAGTTTCTGAACATACTAACCCATCGCCGTAAAACATGTATAGTTTCCAGAAAATCATACTACGTATAAGTATGAAATCAAAAGTAAATCAACGATAAATCCAGAAATACACCAATCAATATCTCAATCGTAGCATAAGTAAAATTAGGTGCTCATCAATCTATGCTAACACACGAGTTCATGCCGAAGGAATTTTACATGAACATGACTGGGTGTAATCATAATATACACTATAGTACTACAATCATGTGAATATTGGCTTCAGACGCATCACATACGAGTCAGAGTTGCCTATAGCAACATGTACGACAGGACTGGCACCTACAATGGATCCAAGGTGAGCGTGCAGTACGATGTGCACATACACGTGAAGCCTGCCATGGCCGGGGCAAGTACTACACAGGTGCAAGCATGCATGATGAGCAAGTATAATGTATGTGATCATGCCATGACAATATATATCAATTCAAAAGCACATGTGGAAACTATAAAACTGTGTGTGTGTGTGTAAACAAATGTCCACTTACTGATACATCAATGGATCGTAGCCTCCTAGCCTTGTTTGTCCTCGTACCTCATCGGAGTAAGTCTCACCTATATGTGAAATAACTTTACTAATTAATTAATTAATTAGGACCTACACAAAAGGCTAGGAAAATCCCTCATAGTTTGCTCAAACGGCAGGTTTAAATATACGAAAACATTCTACTCGATGTCACGAACCCGTACACGTTAAGCACACGGCAGCCAGAGGCCTAACACGCCCTCATACGCCGTCAAGTTGCAGCCACATGTGTGCCCACGCCCCGGATAAACTGACAATAACTCTAGGGTAATATTCCTTCAAACTTGACGAAATATTCTGTTAAACAATAACGGCGTTAGAATATGGAAATGAAGCTTATGAAGAGTAGAACAAGTCTATGCGGAAAAATTTCAAATCTTCACCGGTTTCTAGAAAATTTTCAAATCTTCATATCTTCTTAATTTCTCAACCATTTTTGACAAACTTTATATGGAAATGAAGCTTATGAAGAGTAAAACAAGTCTATACCTTTTGGAATTCCAAAAAATGGATAGAAAATTGACTGAAAAAGCTCAAAAGTCTCAAATTTAGTTTATACTCCTTGAAACTGTGTGTTTCGACGTTGGCTTCTCTCCCAACTTAGGTTAGTGGCCATAGGGAGTTGCGTAGGTACTTCCAAAACTGCCAAAACATTGTAACTCACACGGGAAAACGTCAAAGAATCCATACCCAAGTTGGAGCTCCAAGTTGGACAATGGACACTCAAAACTCGTCCATTTCTTGATCGATTCGTACGGATGAGTTCGTGGGTTTGAGAGGAACATGATGGTGGTGGTTTAAGGGTCGATCTATGAAGTTTTGAAGGTGGTCCTCGTTGTTGCATAGAAGAGAGAGTGACGTGTGAGGAGAGACGAAGGAGAAGAAAAGAGAGAGAGAGAGAGAGAGATAGAAAGGTGACAGTTTTTGATTGGGTAGAGAGAAAAGAGATTTATGATTGGGTGAGGGAAAATAGGAGTGAAATTGATTGGTGAGAGAAAATAAGTCACGAGTCCAGTTTTAAAGAGGAGAAATGATAAGGTTTTGTACAATTTGGAATCAGACGAAATCTAACGCACCTTATAAAAAACA